AAGAAGCTCAGGGACAGTGCCCAGGCCTTGAGTTCAAGCCCCAGGACTGGCAAAAAAAATGTCTCCAGACATACAAATATCTCCCACAGGATAAAATAATCACTTGGACTGGCTCAAGCATGTAATCCTAGCTACTTGGGAAGCAGAAATTAGGTGATCACAGTTCAAGACCAGTGTGGGCTTTTTAAAATAAAATTCAAGAGACTCTGTCCCAACCAATGGCTATAGTAGTAACAAATGCCTGTCATACAAAGCTAAAGGAGGAGCACATGGTTGGGTACAAGAGCATATGCCTATTATCCTAGCAATAAAGGGAAGCACAAATAGGAAGATTTCAGTCTAGGTCAGTATGAGTATAAAGTAAGACTCTATCTCAAAAATAACACAAAAAGTTGCTAGCAGAGTAGCTCAACTAGTAGAGTACCTGCCTAGTAAGCATGAGATCCTAAGTTCAAACTCTAGTACCACCAGAGGGGAAATAAATCATCCCTAAGTGGAAATCACTGAACTACAACTACATATTTTCATTAAAAAGATAAATCTTAAAATAAACCACCAGCTGAAAAAAGATAGGATGTGGAATATTATATGCATTATATAAAATGAATGAAAAATAGCATTTCTTATAGGTATGTGTGTGCTGGTACCAGGGATTGAACTCAGGACCTCAAGTTCTCACTTAGCCTTTTTCCATTCATGTCTAGTATTCTACCACTTGAACCATGCCTTCGGTTGTTTTCTTTGCAGGCTGAATAGAGATAAAGTCTCCCAGACTTTTCTGCTTAGGCTCTTTGAACTTTGATTCTCAGATGTCTGCCTCCTGAATAACTAGGATCATAGGCATGAGTCACCAGCACCCAGCATTTCTATCATAATAGAGAAGGCCAAAATCCATGTATAAGGTCATCCAGATACTTGGTTTGTGTGTTCTTTCCATCTCAAGCCTCTTTATAGATTGTTCAAATGTGAATTTCATAGACTCTCTATTAAAGATTCAGAGAATACAACCATGAACAAAGCAGTCTTTTCCCATGGAATTTGCTTCTAAGTGCCTAAAAGCAGAAGATAAACAAGTAAATAAATAAATGCATGCACTTGGAGGGTGCTATACACAGTGGACGAACACAGAAAATTCCTTCAACACATTTGTGGCCCCCAATACTTTCCTCTGTTTCCATCACCATGGACATTAAAAGCAAAGTAAAAGCCCAGAATTTACAAGATGCCAGAATTCAGACATATCTTTGTGCCCTATTTGAGTACAGGCCCAAGACGTGGGGAGAACAAAGGGCTTCAGATGTCATATGGCTTATTCAAAGTCTTTGTCAAGAACTTCATGGTATCTGACCAAAGAGCATTCTTTTTTATTTTATCACCGGCTGATCATCAGGAACATACCACACTGTTCATCCACCTACAACAATTCTCTTGGGCCCTAGGACATTAAGGAATCAAAGCACACCAGTTGACTTCCTTCTAATTATAGACTATGTACAACTACTGTGACTTATCCCTGACCTTCCAAATAAGTTTCCCCAAGATTTGCACAAAACATGTTTTGATGTGATAAACTGCAATGCTATTAGCACAATTAAAATTCTACATTTCCAATATGTTTAGTACAGATAGATCTGATTATTTTTACAAATCATACTCAAGTGGTTGCTTGGAGCAAATCACTACTAAGAAGTATAAATATTCCTTCCTACTCCTGTATAGGAAGCCCTGGTCTGATGCTAATTCTCAAAGAATTGGCTCCACTGCCATTTCTCATCAATGGATGCCAATGGCATCCAAAGGGTCATAAGAATCTGGCTCTTGTTTCTAAGATCAGGACTAAATACTGGGAGCTGGGCTGCTGTTTTACAAGCACAAGACCATTAATCCCCTTACCTTACTATGGATACAAGAGCACACATTGTTCCTTTTTAAATCATAAGACTTCTCTTTGAATAATTAAACAGAGACAAAAATCCATTACATGCTCTACCCTTTCTAGCTTAGAAAGAGAAAACCATATTTTTTTTAAATTTAATTTTATTTGTGAACATACTGTACAGAGGAGTTACAGTTACATGGGCAGGATAATGCGTATATTTCTTACCAAGCATTGCAGCCTCCTCCTTTGTTTACCCTTCACATCCCTTCCCAGCCTCCCCCCTCCCCCCCAATCCCAATCCTTCTCCTTCCCCCCCCCACCCCCCCCCCTCCCCGCACCAACGTTGTAAAGCTCGTTTTGGACATGACAACTTGTACTTCTCATTGTTGCAACAGGTCCACCTGTATCCTTAAACAACTGGTTTTTCCCCATCTCCTCCACAAGTTATACTGACATCAAATATAGTGAAAGCAGGGGTTATACTGTGGGGGAGGGACATACAAAGCAACAAAGAGATAATCTTATAAATGTGTTAGAAACACATGCATGAAAGAAAAAAACATTAAAATACACATGTAAGGGTTCATTTTCCTGACATCACATTATCTGACCTTTTCCGCTTGACTCATACATATACTAGATATTACAAATAAGGGAAACCATGGGACCTACGTTTCTTTGGGCCTGGCTTACTTCACTTAATATAATTTTTTCCAAGTTGAGAAAACCATATTTGAGATATCCTTTTACCTGTCTTGCTCAAAATAGTAAATTACCTAAAAGCCAAAATTGGAGTAACTTAAGTATGTAATATTTTCAGTTTTCCTGGGGAATAATAAACTTTGAACTTAGATCATAACTTAGAAACTGCTTATAATATTTTGAGATTTCTGTGCCACTGTTTTTAGCAACCTGGCCAAAAATATGTTTTAAACAGTGAAACATATCTAGACACCAACTTCAACCAAACTCCCAATAAAATCACTAGTAACTCACTGTAATGACACTAGAGCATAGATTAATTTTTCATACATTTTTTCACTTTGTTTCAAAAAAGGACCTCAGCAAACAGCAATAAAAATAATTTCTTACAGTTTACAAAATAATCTTTGAAAGAATTCCCTGTTCTAGTCACATTATACCCCTTTTTTTTTTATGTCCATATAGCCAAGTTCATGAGAGTAGGACCAGGAATGTGTGGACCTAGTTTATCCATCATTTTAATTAAGTGCCTAGAAAACAGCATGCTTTCAATAATAGTTAATTCTGCAGATCTGACTGTGTAGCTTAGAATGAACAAAGATGGTTATGTTCACCCACACCATTGCCTTTGGCTGCCCTGACAGCTCTCTCTGCCTTATATCCTGATGGCATCTGGAACATGTTGTGGAACCTGCCTGTCACTTCTGGCCACTACATCATCCAGGCCAGTCGAATACACTGCCCTCCTCCCTCCAACATGCAGCTGTTCTGCCCAAATGGATACTAAGTGGCAGCCCTTTGCCCTCTGTCCTGCATGCCTACCCTCCCCCATGCTCATTCTCCCCCATTTATAGGTGGGAGAAGGAGTTGGGGTTCAGACAGATAAGAAAGGCCCGGCCTTGCCTTGGCCAGAGCCTTCTGTGGTTGCCAGTTGCTTTTAGTGGTCCTGGGTGGCAGGCACCCAGATGCTTTGCATTCAGAGTGCTCCTGTGGAACCTTTGGAGACCCCTCCAGGTACCTCTAGCCTGTATCATCTTCCATGCTCCCTAGGCTCTGCCTCCAGCAGTACAGCTCCAACCTTGCTCTACTACCCAGCTTGCCCTGTGATTAGTTCTCAGCCCAGGAAGTGGCACTGTAGCTCAAGTGGTAGAGCACTAGCCTTGAGCTGAAGAGCTAAGGGGCAGCGCCCAGGCCCAGAGTTCAAGCCCCATGACCAACAAAAAAAAAAAAAAAAAAGACTTAGTTCTCAGCCCAACGGGCAGCAATTCCATCCAGTCACCTTTGAAAGATTCCTCTTGATCTTTTGAATCATGTGACTATTTTACTTTAAAATATTAAAATAGACGTGAATGTAGATGCAAATACATACATCATGTTTATTCTGCTTCTTTACTCTTTATACTTCATAATCATAGCCCATGAATCAGATATTGTGAGGTTGAGAGAAGCTGATTAATATTATCTTCTTCACTAGGCTCTGAGTCATTTCAGTACTCAGACTAAAGAATAAGACAGATAGAAGATCAAAATAAAAGGCTAAGTTGGAGAATATGACATTAATGAACATAAAGTTTCTCTTTCTAACTTCAATATATCCTGAAATGAAATGTTTATCCATCCTATCTCATGGTGAGTTGATCTGAGGCAGGTAGCACGATGTACTTAGAGCAACAAATGATACGGCACCTACTGATCTAAATGCTCCTTCTATGGAAATAATAAAGTACTGCCTGAAAGGTATGCGTGCCTGTCAGAACATGTGTTCTAGTTCAATACTGAACTAGAGAATAGCACTAAGAATGCCTGGTAGAGTGGGGAGGGCAAGCCAATTCCCAAAGAGAAAGGAACCCAAACCAAGATTTTCCTTCCAGCATAACAATCAGACACGCCATTTCCTTCTTAAGGAGAGGCATCAGGTAGAAGTGAAGGGACACCAGCAGTATTGCCCTCACCACAAACAGAAAGGGAAAGAAGCACCACAAACAGAGAAGATCCCTCCAGAAGACTAGAACAAAATGTAAAACTATAGAGGTAATGATTGCTTTTAGAAAAATTAGCATGGTACTATGATAGATGCTAATGTAAAAAGAATAACCTATATATATTCAGGAATTTTTTTCCTAAATGAATGTAGGATTCTTTAGTATCTATCTCTCTGCAAGAAAAATTATATTTATATAATAGACTATAGAAATCTCAGCTACAATCTTATTGGTAATTTATCTCTATATTACATGTTGAACAAAGAACATTGTTGGAACATGATATAATCTGTAAGGGCAGCTAAATTACAAATTATTTTTTAAATGAGATCTAAGTTTCTTAAAATTTTGGTTAAGAAATTATTTTAAGTTTAAGGTCTGAAATAGTGAACAGTCTCAAGTAATATTGCAATTGTTGGATTTTTTTTTTTACTTACTCTGTTTTTTCTCTGTTGGGAACTTTTCTCATGGAGAAAGCCACCATTGCTTTGAAGAGATATTCTTCATTTGTATCCCATACATACTGGAAGAGAAGGAAATAGAGACTGTAAAGACATGTTTTTTTAAACAAACAAACAAACAAACAATCCATTAGGTGGTTTATTAGATCTTTCTCCCTCTCCTTCATTCTCACTCACTCCCTCCTTCCCAGCCATCCTCTTTCCATTTCTCTCTCCTCCCTCTTTTCTTCTCCTCTTTCTCCTTGTCCCTCTTACTATTTGTTATTAACCCACATCTTTCTCAAACACTGAAAACTGGAGAACATGATAATTCACATCCCTTAAGGTCCAGTGTAGGGTTTCTTGAACATTTTAACTGAACCACTTTCATACCAAATTTGGGGTATTTCTTATTGTATTACTTTCCTTAGAAGCTTCAGTGGAATTAGCCAGTCACCAAATTGGGCATCATGACCATATACGTTCCCTTCTATCCCTTCTTTTTTCTGTTCCCTCATAAACTAGCTCTCCCTCCCAGATTCCTTTCCTTTAACATATAAAAAAATTTATTTTTTAATTTTCATAGCTGGACAATATTAAGGTATGACTGTATTATAGGCTGAATTAGATCCTCCTCCCCACAAAAAATCATGTTGAAGTCATAAACTGAAATTCCTCACATTGTAACCATATTCAAAGATAGAATCTTTGAAGAAATAATCGAATTTAAAATGTAGTTATTAGGCTCTTGTCCAATAAGACTAATATTATTAGAAGAGGAATTCTGAATGCAGACTCATACAGATGGAAGACAATGTGAAAACATAAGGGGAAGTGGCCATTTCTAAGTCTAGTTGGATATATTTACCTAGCAGTTCATATTCCATGGTTCCATATTCCCTCATTTCAATACTACGTGTGCCAAGACACTACAGGCCCCTGCTCACCTTGCTTTTTATCCCACACTTTGGACAAGTTAGTAAAGCATAACTAGAGAAGTCACAACACAGGGCTTGTTAATTTAATTCTGAATTTATAATGACTTACTTCAAAACCGCCTGTGAATCCCTTTGGTTTCTCCGTCATCTCTGTCTCATGAGTCATATGACTATTTCAAACTTCCCACAGGCACCTAAATCACCATGCTTTCCCTCACACCTCACTCTCACTATATTTTCTTGTTTCTTCAGTTATAGATACAGTTCAAGTCATAAATTTAAACCTCCCTGTCCTCCTGATACCAAGATATCAAACTTCCTCCATAGACACTCATCTGTTTACCTGCTAGAGGTGTTTGTTTCTTTCCTGCCAATGGTTAATCTTTCTACTTCTATTAGGAAACATCTCCTCTGTCCTTCTCAGAATCTAAACAATATCTGTTTCTCCTCTCTATTTTGTATATTCAAATCTACCTGAAGATTGTCCACTCACTTTTTTTCCCCAGGGCTTGAACAGTGTCTGGGCACTGTCCCTCGGCCTCTTTGTGCTCAGGATTAGCACTCTACCACTTCAGCCACAGTGTCATTTCTGGCTTTTTCTGAGTCATTTATTGGAGATAAGTCTCATGTACTTTTCTGCCTGGGCTGGCTTCAAACCACAGTCCTTAGATCTCAGCGTCCTGAATAGCTAGGATTGCAGATGTGAGCCACCTGCACCTAGCTTGTCCACTCACTTTTAACTGCGCTCAAATTTTTCCTATTCAAACAACAGCAAAAATATGCCAGGCACTGTTGGCTCACACCTGTAATCCTAGTTACTCAGGAGGCTGAGATCTGAGAAATGTGGTTCAAAGCCAGCCAAGTACAAAAATCCCTCAGACTCATATCTCCAATAAAATACCAAAAAAAAAAAAAAACAACAGAAAAAAACCTAAAAAGCTGGAAGTGGAACTGTGGCTCAAATGGTAGAGGGCTAGCCTTGAACAAACCAACTCAGAGACAGTACCCAGGCCCTGAGGACTGACACACAAAAAAGATAAACATTAAATAAATAAATAAATAAATACTCAACTTCTTTCCATCCCTTCCTAGCCAAAACTCTTAACAGAAATGTTCACACTTCTATTTTTTACATGTATTATCACCCATTTGTTTTAAATTCCCTCTAGTATATGCCTTCCAACTCAATATTAAGATTACTATACAGAGAGGCCCATTATTACATTCAATACAGTGTGGTTAGCAAAGAAAAATTAAAGTGAAAACGTAGGTGCCACTTACTGCTTTATCTCCAAGAGCTGTTCGGATACTAAGTCTCACTTTAAAGGCATTTTCTGCATCTGCCAGAAAGAAATAAAGGAAGCAGCCAGTAACAAAATCTATCAAAACACAGTTTGAAAAATTCTATTTATTGCAACTCAAATCAACAGAATGGAGAAAGTTCATTAAATTGCCCCCAAATACTTCTGCAAGTTTGATGAAAATCATATTAGATGATTTCAATATTTCTCTAAAACTTATGAGTCATGGGTTCAATTTTCAAGGCACAACCTGCCTGCAGATTTAGGAAAGTATAAAGTTTGTTCAGTCAGTGTCTCATCAATCATTTAGAAAAATCAAGTTTTAAGTTTCAAGGTAACATACCCGGTTGACAGAGTTCAGCCTGAATAGCATTCACCAAGAAAAAGAGAAGCCACAACATTCTTTCAGAGTTGAAAACAGGAGACAAACGCAGGGAAAAAATTCCACCTTCCACTTAAAGCTGCCTTAGCCATTCTGTGACCCGGATTAGAATATCAGAGAAATCAGCCAGCTACCATCTAAAATGTTTAATAATTAACATCCATCACTCAGGTTAGGGCTTCCATATAAGCCGACCATCTCCAGTCCGTTCTTTACAAAAATGTGTTTGGAAAACAGATTAGTTGTTTTTTAACAAACGCTACCTGAAAAGAATGTTTCCCTTGCTGACACAATCAGAATCCTCCCCCACACCCTCCCAACGCTACACACAAATACACACACACACACACACACACACCCTCACAATCAGAATCCTCCCCCCACACCCTCCCAACGCTACACACAAATACACACACACACACACACACACACACACACACACACACACACACACACACACACACACACACACACACACACACACACACACACACACACACACACACACACACACACACACACACACACACCCTCACTGCTCCTGTACTTGTCTGAGTAAGGGAACAGTGAAAAAAAAATGTATTTTCTCCAGAAGTTTTCTTTGGCATAAACTTTTCTCCTTTCAGGGCTAAATTATCTGGCTCATAAATAGACTAATTTGGAAAACCAGTATCACTCATTTCTTTCTCTAGTGAACAAAACATATCTTTCCTATAGTGTACTCCCCTGAGTACCATCTTGTCAGGTAAATAGGCATCCAAGACAGGTTCTACTTCACACAAACAATCGCCTTTGTTTAGTTTAGCCCTAATATCTGGCAGTAATATAGAATAAAATGGATTTATATGGGGCAATGGCTGCCCAATGTTTTGCCCCTGTGCTACACAGTATGATATCCACTAGACATGGATAACTGCAAAGGCATGAGTGGAAGGGCTAACTTTCCCAGTCTGGCTGAGGAAGGGTGGAACCCTATCTCAGCCACACTATATCTCTCATGGTCAAAATTGAAATTGCAAGAAAACCCAGAAATGATCTGAGATTTAAGATGATGAGTGCAAAAGACTTTCTCCTGCTGGGCATCCCACCAATGATGATGCCAACAGAAGCTCCACGGCTCCATGCCAGGTATTACCTCTCTCCAATGATGCCTCTTTCAGTCCCTCAATTCTACCTCATTCCTCAGAAATCATAAATGGAAAGATTAGATTGGGAGACCCTGGTGACAAACAGGAAATTTGGATTTTTTTTTTTTTTGGTTGGTCATGATGCTTGAACTCTGAGCCTCAGCACTGTCCCTTAGCTTTTGTGCTCAAGGGCTAGTGTTCTACCACTTGAGCCACAGTGCCACTTCCAGTTTTCTGGTGATTAATTGGAGATAAAAGTCTCTTAGACATTCCTGCGTAGGCTGGCTTTGAACTGCAATCCTCAGATCTCAAGCCTCCTGAGTAGCTAGGATTACAGGCATGAGCCACTGCCACCCAGCTGGAAATCTGGATTTTTAAAGCATGATATATTCATAGGAAGATACGAACAAGAACAGACCTGTAGTACTTTGAGAAAGAATTTTTTCCCTTCCAAGGAAGGTTGAGATTCTATTGGAAACAACTCATTTAGGCTGTCTAAATCCACATGAAGAAGTCTTTCCTCATCCCCTTCACTTCTGATGCAAGAACACTGAGACAGGAAAAACTGTCCCAGAGGAAGAGGCAACCAAGTCAATCCAGCCATTCTAGGAATGTCACTGTTAGGTGTAATGGAAATTTCCTAGAAAACAGCTTACTTAACTACCCCTGGGGAAGAAAAAGTCAATAAACAGAGAAAAGAGATTAACCAAGAGTTCTATTTGCATCAAGGAACAGAGCCTTATTAGGGACACAAAAATCTGATTAAACTTTTCCTTTCATCTTGAATTTCATAAAAGTAACAAATGTCTCCCTATGAGCTTACTTAACACTTGTATGAGTAGGATTAAAGACAGTGAAACACTGAATCTTAATCAGTGTGAGTTACTTATTTGAATGAAAAATAAAAATGGCTTACTTTTCAATTGTGGTTTTTCAATGCTTATATCTAGTTTTAAAAAAAGAGAGAGAAAAAAAAGGAAGAGAAATTTGTCCTAGAAAATACAGAGAAGCAAAACAAGAAAAGTAGAAAACATACACATTTAATACTTGAAACTCACTTTCTTTAGTTTGCGTCTTCTTGTGTATTCTTATGTGATGGAATTATTATTATTATTTGTTTTCACTAGACACTATTTGAACAGGTGATAAAATAGTGGGAATATAACTGAGACCCTTGTCTTCTTCTTTACTTGGAATGGGAATGCTGCTTCACCACAGAATCTGGTGGATTGCTTAAAAATATTTTATGTGATAAAAGTATTATTTTCTTTCTTTTTTTTTTTTTGTCAGTCGTGGGGCCTAAACTCTGGGCCTGGTCACTGTCCCTCAGCTCTTCAGCTCAAGGCTAGTGCTCTACCACTTGAGCCACAGTACCACTTCCGGCTTTTTCTGCGTATGTGGTGCTGTGGAATCGAACCCAGGTCCTCATGCATGCAAGGCAAGCACTCTACCCTTGAGCCACCTTCCCAACCCAAGTATTATTTTCTAATTACCAAAATTGCCTTTTATTAGTAATTGACATTATATTTTGTCACAAACTAGCTTTTCATTTTAATTATGATCATAGAGTTTACCTAATGGCTCATATTAATTTATTTCTTTAAGTAATTAAATATTTCTTACTGGGCGCTGGTGGCTCACACCTGTAATCCTAGCTACTCAGTAGACTGAGATCTGAGGATCGCCATTCAAAACCAAACAGGACAAAAGGGTCTATGAGACTCTTCTACAACTAACCACCAAAAAGCCAGAAGTGGAGCTGTGACAAAAGTGGTAGAATGCTAACCTTGAGCACGAAAGATCAGAGATAGCACCCAGGCTCCCAGTTCAAACCCCAGGATCTGCACACGCATAAAAATTCTTTACATCGGTTCAACTCCTAGAGAAACTGGTTTTAAAATTCATTTTTAGTGTGTGCTGAAAATAAATTGCTCATTTTCCCCTAGGACTTTTGAAACTTATCTTTTTGAAAGAACATTGTGTAAGTTCTTTTTCAAGTGCTGATTCTTGAGTTGTTTTTCTCTTTGTCCTTACGACATCATCTTCAAAAGAATTTCTACCATTTTTTAATGTTTAGAAATAGTGTGTCACAAGTGGGAAGCCCTGCCTTCAAACCACATTGCCACCAAAAAGAAAATAGAAATCTTTATAATGCATAAGACTGAAGAATCTGGACCATGTGTATTTTAGAGGAAGACTCCCTAGAAATTATTTATTTTCTACATTACTACTGATTTCAGGTTTTAAACTTTTTCTGAATTCACTATGGTTGTTTACAGTTTCCAAGAAAATATTCACTTCACTAAGATATTCCAATATTCTCATGGAAATTCTGAAATATTTCCCATAAAATACGCACATTTGTTGCTGAATTCCCTTTACATTTTCTAATGTATGTATTAATTTTTCTCATTTTTCACTGAATTTGCCATAAGTTTTGCCTTTTGTTATTACAATTTAAGCAAAGAACAAGATCATTGGTCTAATTTTCAATTCCATTCTTTTCTCTAATTCATTAATACTTAACAAACATCCTTCTTTAGTTGTTACATTTTTTTCTTTTTGTTTTCTTTGCTTGCTTTTGAGACAGGGTAGTACTATGCAGCCTAAGAACTTGCTCTACAGTCCAGCATGGCCTTAAATTCCTAATTATCTAGTTTAGCCTCCTGAGTGCTAAGACTCAAGTGTACATCACTATGCTTGGATATATTTATTATGTTATATTTATAATTCTTGAATTAGCTAGTAGGCTTATATAAACAAAATAATTTTAATCTCTCCCATATATCATGACATATAACATACATATACACAGTGATGTCATTCACATTTTCTAAATAGTTCACAATTATAGGGTTTAATTTTTCAATACTCCACCCAGTAATTGCATAGAAAAGTTTTTGCTATATCCAAAAAATAGCAGTCAAAAATGGAACTAATAACACAGCTTTGTACATGTTCTGCCCTGTGGATAAAAACATAAAAGTTCAAATAATGAATATAAGATAATTTGACTTCAAATATGATGATGCCACAAGTTACTTATCACAGGGAAGGTAGCTTAATAAAGATCTTAACAAAATAGATGGAAAACAGAGCTAGATGTCAGGGTTTTTACTTCTCAAATTTACTGTCTTTATTTTCCCACATTTCACAACTTTCTACAAATTTAATGTTCCGCTTTGATGTACAGATTTTAATATCAAGCTTCCAGAGGTTATATTCACGTGTAACTTGTTTTATAAACTGCTCATTTCAACAATTTCATGAGCACTTAATAACATATTTGTATCCAGTAATGACAAATGAAGAAATGTCAATCATTGTGAATAGATTACTATTAACTACCAAATGTTCAACACTTAGAGCAAATAAAAGTTTTAGACTACTGTCACCATGATCAACAAAACAGGGCCTCCAGTATCCTGAGACAAGAAAGAAAAATTGATTTCTCCATGTTTTTATACTACAGGGCACTACTGAAAAGCAGTTTCTGGGCACATAACTATTGATCTACTGCTGTAGGGTAAATAAAATATAAGATCATATAAAATGAAAACACATGTGTTCTTTTGATTCATGTGAGAGGGTTTTAATGCTTACTAGAGTTGTAAGAGCATGTAGGAATAGGTAGGCTCCATTTACCTGTAATAAAACAAGAAGTAAGGAGAATGAATGACCCTTTTAAATTTGACCTTGATTATTCTGTTTCATTGCTACAAACAGGAATACTTTTATTTTTTTTCAAATTGCTAGTCAGTATTAAGACCCTTGGGGAGATATTTCTGTTTATTGCACAAAAATATTCAACTTTAACTCAGTGATTTTTCAGTCAAGATGACTTTTGCCCTCTGGAGAACATTGGCAGTGTCTGAAGAAGATATTTTTGGCTATCACAAATGGCAGAGAAATGCTACTGACATCAGATGGGTAGAAGTCAGGGATACTGGTAAACATCCTACAACCTCTACAGACATCATGTAGGCCCGTATCTGGTAATTTTTCTCTCCTTGTAGTTGGCTTAATGGAAACAAAGCATACAAGGAAAAAGGAGATGAAAGGGAACATGTGTGTTTAAAATTAGACATACTATAAGATTTATTCATCATAGATAGAACACCATTACTTCTATATCCTCAAATTACCACTCATTCAAATAAGCTTATTTATCTTTTTATTCATATAGATAATGAGAAATAATAATTGCCTGGTTACTGGAACTCCTAGGCACAACTATTGGGCTGGCAGTTCAATGGCCCATGATTAATAAGTACCAGCACACTGAATATCCACTGATGGAATACCCTTCTACCTTCCATTATCCTTCTTATCATTTATACATAAGTCATTTCCACATTAAAATCTTCAATAGCATGACAGTGTGGATGTAAGAGAATCAAAACTCTTTATCCTCTAAGATCTAAACCAACATGGATTTTCCAATGCATATACTTTATGCTCCCTCCCTCCCTCCTCCCCCGAATTGGTCTCCCAGGTAGTTCCTGCAACTTGATTAAGGATTACTCTGTTCATTTGTTTTCACAGGATTTTGTGAAACTAAATTGTTAACTTTCTTTTGCCTTTCTCTTTTTTCGTTGTCCAGATTTATAACTGCCTTGTCTAATTCACTAAATTTTTATTCTGACCTTTTCCCCATGTTTCCAAAGGATTTTTGCATCAATCTATACAAAACATGACTTTATTATTGTGTGCTACAAAAAAACCTGTATGTTTCTAGATGGCAGGGACTATATTTTGTTCATTTTTTTTCACTTCCATGAATAGCTTAAGAAAATTAAATGCACTAATTTGAACCATAAACTGAAATTCTAATAAGCTTGAGGCACTGGGAATGAAGCATAGTAATGTGAAGGACTCTGCAATTTTAGTTTTTCATTCCTAGTCACAGATAAATAATTTCTAGTATCCTTGATAAATAAGGAACCCTGGGCTTGGGAGCCTTTCTTTTTGTCTCCACACCCTCTCACTTGATGCCCTTTTTAAAATAAGAATATCATATCCAAAATATTCAAAAAGCTCATCAGATTTTGTAGGTTAATCAATAGCCATAATTACTATGAACTTTGTTCTATTATTCACAGGTTAACATTTTTGTTCCTCAGAGAAAGTTAATCACCACTGCTTAGAAATAAAAATTAATTCAGACAAACTGGGTGAATGTAATTCTGCCAACTTTATATTCCAAAGGTAGGAATTTAAACAGCAGTTTCTTAATGGGATATAGTAGTATCTGTGTGTCTCATCTTGGGCAAGAAAAGCAATACGTAATAATGGGTCTCATGTAATAAAAGTGACACTTTACTGATGTTTCTTTCTCTCTATGTATTTATCTGTTTCATATTGCTAGGGTAAACAAAATTGATGGTGGGCCACTGTTGTGGACTCAGGTCCTGCACTAATCCCAACAAGCCTTACCAAACCCAAATGGAGTCCCTCATGCTAAATGCTACACTACCAAACAAAAGGATTAAGGAAGCAGTGAAATCCCAAGCAGATCAGCTGTTCCTGGAAAAAAGAAATTCTAGTTTACTCCATTCAGCATACTTACTAAGGAAGTCCCTTTTGCTTTTACCCTTACAAAAAGAGAAACCTATGAAACTTAAACCAATCAGTACTTTTTTTCTATTGTCCTATTCCTTTGTCCACCTTACAAAAGTCTATTGTTCTACTATTGCCCAGTGTGAACTTTTGACTTTTGTGCTTTTTTTTTTTTTTTGGTAAAATAGAAGTTGACCCAATTCATGAATCACAAAAGTCAATTAGATCTATAACTAAATTTCCTGTCATTTTGTCTCTGCACAGTTCTAAGAGTCTTCTCATGGTATAAGTAAGTCATAATCTGTTTTTTCTGGGCTAATAAAATTACAGCCATGCTCTGTGAAGTAGTATTAACCATCCTCAGTTACCTATTTTGCTGGCAGAGTTTATGCAATCACATTCATCCCCGTCTATAGGTACTTCCTTTGCTAATCTCTACAAAAGTGGTAAGGAGGCTTGAGGCCACATAACTTTTAGACTACATGCTCTTACCTGCATAACAGTATGTTTTTCTTTATTTGGAAATACTGAGGTTTGAACCAGGGCCTCAAACTTGCTGGATGGACAATGAGTTGTTCTACCACTTTAACCATACTCATACCTTTTGTTTGTGCTTCTAGTTATTTTGAAGGCAGAGTCTCACTTTTTTGCCCTGGTCATCCTTGAACCACAACCCTCCTACTTATGGTCTCCTGTGTAGATAGGGTGATAGGCACACATTAGCAAGTTTATTTGTTGAGATGTTGCCAACATTTTGCCAAGGCTGACATAAAATCACAATTCTTAGTATCTCCAGTTCCCTAGTAGCTGAGAATAGAGGTGGGACCTCATTCTGGTTGGTATAAAAGACATGAATCAGTATCTTAGTTTTCACTATAGATTTTTAGCAAACAATGTTGACCTTGAGGCCCTGTACTGCCTAAATTCCATCAAAAGCTTTCTAATTGCTATGTTTATGGGCTTAATAAATGATATGCACAAGACAGACCCTTATTACTGTAAGATATCAGATATCATCTTGTTTGCAGACACTTGCCCAACCAGCCCATGACATTACTAGTCTATTACATAACTTGTTTTCTTCTGAGCATGAACTCAGCCAACTAGTATGAATCGAGTTGAAACTTCTTTGTTGTCATAGAGATACATCTAAGGCTACTTTGAATTAAGCCAGATCATTGGGTATCAGATGAAATGGAAAGCTTGGAAGGTTTCTAAATTTGAATAAGTAGTACCAATGCTTGTAGACCCAGAATTGTAAATGGTGGGTGCAAGGGGGTGCAAGCAGAAATCTAAATGTGGTATTGTCTCCACTCTGGACAGTATGAGAGGACCTGAAGTCTAGGAAAAGTCATAGCAAAGACACATCAGGAAATAAAGTGTGCTTATCCACACAACTGCCAGGCCTTTAAAGTGTGTCGCGAGGCTGGAAGGGTAGTACCAACGGCCCCCCGCCCCCCAGGCCATGTTAGGGAACAGGAGCCCCAACCAGAAAGAACACAGTTCCACCAGTTGTCCCCCAGGTTGGGTTCCTACTCAGTTTTTGCTCATTGAGTGATGGAGCTTTGATCTGGGAGAAATAAGATGAAAATAAATTTAAGGAGGATCAGAGCTCCACTGACTCATTTTACTCTATAAACACTAACATCCAGTTGTGGGGCCAAGGAATATTTTCTAAAGAAACTTGGGCTCCCTCTAGGAGGAAAACTAGTCCGGCAGGGGAAGGGGGGGGGCAGGGAGGCGTGGTCGCAGTACTGTAAAACAGATAGATAGTCAGTGACTTGGCAACCCAGGACGCGGCCCAAACCTAATACAGGTAAGTGCGCATGCGGGGGGGGGGGGGGGGTTAGGTGGACCAACACAATTCCTATAATCCTGGTCTGTAGCCTACGAGGACCGCTAAAACGGGCTTGGCTGGAGGGGTGCATAATACAGGTCAAAAGGGATGTGACGCGAAGCAGACAGGTCCGGCCAGGCCAGACAGCAGGAAAAGAACTTGGGTACCACGAGGACGTCCACCCTCCCAGAGGAAGAGGCGTGGCCTGGGCGTCTCCCAACAGCGTGATTAGAGTAAGTATGACTTAGCCTGCGTGTAAGGGGCGTGGCAAAAGTGAGCCAATTCTCAGGTCCCTAGCCATGGGAAAGAATTTCTGGAGTGCGTAACTGGGAGGGGGACACAAAGAGGACTTGGGGGAGGGGGAGTGTCCCGCTGATTATAGAGAAGTGGACTGAACAGTGCTCAGAGAATAGGCCTGCCGCAATGCAGAGACGTGGCGGTAGGCAAAGAGGACTCAGGGTATAGCGTGCCTCCGGTGAGGGCCGGTGACGTAAACAGGAAGGAAAAGCACGAAGTAGGCGGGGCACAGAGCTGACCTGAATTTTGAGGGCCCAGCCGATGCTTGAGGGGTTAGCTTTCCCACTCTCGCGTGAGAGAAAGAGGGAGCAAGCGGAGGGCAAGAGCGCAGGCAAGTTATTGCGCGGGCGCGTAAGTGCTGCGAGAATCTCGCGAGGAGATGAGGTGTGGAACCAGGAAAGTTCGCCTGGAGCATGGCTAGGGCGGGACTTCCGGCTTCATGGGGACGTATCCTGATTTAGCGAATGGTATTCTTGGCGCGAGGGGAGGAGCGAGTGCGAGGGGGCGTGGCCAAAATGGCTGCGCGCTACAGCCACGGGGTCTGGGAGCGCGCGACGATTTGCAGGGTGAACATTAGTGCAGCGTGGCCTGCCACAGACGACAGGCAGTACCCCGTGGACTTCACAGGTACCTTGCAGCCCGTGAAGGTTTTTGGAGGGATATGGGTGGAGAGGTGGCGGCCGCGGCGAGTTACTTTTTTCCCACTCTGGCTCTCTTACTCCTCCGTAAAAGGTCCCCATCTTTTAAGGTTCTGTCCTTTTAAAGGTAGAACAGTTGTCCCGGCGACCTTGAAGGTAGGAAAATTGCAGTTTTTAGAAATCGAGGCTGGGATTCCCTAGGGGATGTATTGTTGATCCTCCTTGACTGTGCCAGGAATCTGAACAGACTCAGCCATTTCTGGCCTTGGAGACCAACAGCATAATTTTGTAGTTGTGTCCTGTGCACAAAACTGAGCCTTCACTCCTCAGGTCTTTCCTTGTGTGGGTGTGTATTCTATCCCAGAGCTGGAGGAGAGGAACCTCTAAAATACAGTTAGGGCCTGAGATTCTCTACAAGCATTCGACTTTTAAAGCTACTGCCCCGAGGCAGCTTGGGGCTCTGTTTTTGTGCCCTTACTGGGGCTTGAACTCAAGAGTTTGCATTCTCACTTGGCTTTTTTTCTGAAGGCTAGCGCACTCCTACTTGAACCACACCTCCACATCGGACTTATTTTTTGGTGGTTAACTGAAGAGTCTCGCAAGGCTTTTCTGCCTGGGCTGGCTTTGAACCGCAATCCTCAAATTTCATCCTCATGAGTAGCTAGGATTACAGGAGTGAGCAACTGGTGCTTTGCGTCATTAGTGTTAGTATCGTTGTAATTTTGTTTGTTTTAGACTTGAAGTTAAAAATGTCTGCACCTTATTGGATAGAATTTGTCTTGTGTTAGCCACTTAAAACCACATTGCTTTTTTGTTTCTTCTGCTTATTTCACTGTTTGTCTCCACTCTGGTATTTAAAAGTCTTACTAGAATATACAGAATTGTCAGAAATCTCGTGAGAAATGCAACCCTAAAGAATTCAGCCTTGGAGTTACATGTGCAGGCCAGGAGCCTCCATGGAATTCCCAAAGTTCCTACCACTCTCCTTTGATGTGCCTAATGACTGAACCTCCCTGCCTCTCTACTTCAGTGTATAGAGGAGCAAAATGAGGCATACACCAAGTCCCCTGCTGTGCTTGGGTATACCACACTAAGATGGGACGTGTCTTTGCACCTACGTGGATCTTTTCTCTCTTTAGTTCAGAGGAGAGCAATATCTAGAATAGAAGTACAGACTAGAGCAAGTTCAGAACAAGGATATGCAGAAGGAATGGGAGGATGAAATTCTGATTTGCTTCCTTGCTCAACATTGCTAGAGATTATGATTTTGTTCTATCGTGAACTCTTGGAAAGGTAGTGTGAAGAAATAAAGTTTAAGTCCGTAAGTAAAATGAGCTATTGCCCCCAACTTTTGTTTATGTGTCCTTTGCTCCTCACCTGATCCCCCAACATGACCATACTCCTTTTGGGAGTAGAAGATGGAATCTAAGAAAACAAAATACCTTGCCATGAACTGGTTTGCTTTCTCCCCCACTTACAGTGTGTACATTTCAGGAAGCTCCTAAGAGGTGAAATGGCATGCCTTGACAGTAGATTTCAACTCTCTAGTTTTGCGTCAGCTCCCAACATTGCCAAGAGCAAAGGAAATGACAGTGAATGTTGGAGTGAAAATACATAAAGTTTTCCAGGCACCTGTGGTTCATGCACTGTTGTTTGTCATCATAGTGTATTAGAGTTCACTAAGTATTCATTTGATGCTTGGTCATTGTTGGTTGCTTACTGGACCTCAGGACTTGAGACTTGAATGTCCAATGAACCCAAGATGTACAGCCAGCAATATCTCTAATGCTGTTATTTGTCTGCTCTGTTCAGGTTGAGATCTGAGGATCTTGATTCAGAGCCACAGATTGCCAGTTAACCCACAAAAGGCCAGAAGTAGAAATGTGGAACACCAGCCTTGAGTGAAAAGCTAAGGGATAGCAATCAGGTCCTTAGTTCAAGTCCCAGTACCATACTGGCGCGCACACACATGCACACGCGCGCACACACACACACACACACACACACACACACACACGAAACAATGTATTCTACAGAATTCTCACCTTGGAACTTAGATTCATTGATCTCTTTGAGATTCAGAAGAACTTTGTGGTTCCTTCAGTTCTTATTAGGAAAGACTTGAGCAGTCTTAAAGAATGAGCACCCATATCAGGGTATAAACTACTAATCTGAATGCTGCCCTTCTAATAGGTTTCCATGTGAGTTTTCAATCTGTTGTTGACAGTTTTTTCCTCCTCTGTCTTTCTTCAGGTTTTTAGATCCCTGTAAGTTATTTGGCAGCTGATGGAGTTCTCAAGTTAAAGATGTTGGTGATGAATGAAGTGAGAGGGATTCTTCAAACATCTCCATGAAAATTGCTTTGGAGAAGATTCCAGGTACTGAGATTCATGCCAGTGAGGCCCTGAAGTCTCTACCTGTACTTACAGAACCCAGAACTGAGCCTGTGAGTACTCCCATTTCCCTAAAGAGAGCAAAAAGTCTCCTTGAGTTTATAACAGGTGCACATATTAAGAAGATACAGCATCATTGGCATTCCAGTGTAGGATTATATGCTTAACAACTGTGAGCACAACTTTCTCTATTGATTCATTAAATGTAGGGAGTCCTTTTTTGACCAGTTTTATTATGTCAAAATGATGTCATACTGAAACGACAAGAGATGTCCAGAATCAAATATCTTGTAATCTGGTAGCTATATCATTTCCTATTAGCAGTGTCTTTTTATTAAGGCTGATCCACAGACTTCAAAATATTCCTGTGAATCTTCATTCTTTTGTTTATTAATGTCTATAAGCAGTTTTGATATATTCTGTCCTGAAGTCCAAATCCCAGAGTTAATTCTGACTGACAGGCTTGCAAGCATATGCTCCACTGTAAGCATGGAAGATCAAGTGAGGAGGCAGATGATATTTCTCAAGCCTGTTAATTCTCCCCAGAAATATAAGGTGGCTGTGTCATAACAGTGCAGGGATCCTCCATTGTGATATCAATATGGGGGGTGGATTGCTCTCTGTTGTGGGGTCTGTCCTGAGCATTGTACGTGCTGAATGGCATTTTAATCTCTACTTACCCAAATGAAATTTTCCCAATCTGCTCCAGGGTTGAAAATCACTGGGATAAAATGGAGTATATTTGAATGTGGGGAAATTAATGAAATGACTAAATATATCTTTTAAAGTTACTTGATGTATTTCTGCTATTTACTATATATTAAAATCATTTGCAAATATTGCCTTACTTCAAATCTTACCTTCTCAACTTTTTCTCTTAGAATTTGAGTTTATATGCACATAAGAAAAGGAATTCATTGGCAGTGCCAGGGCTAATCTAGTAAAACTTGTTACCTTGAAGTTGCTTCGTGAATTTTTATTGTAACTTTATTTTACTTTTCAGTGTAGCTCTTATTGAGAAAATTATGACCCATTTTATCTAAGCTAGTTAGTTACAACATTGGCACTTCGTGTTCTAAGGCAGGGAACAGGGGGGTGATATGGGGCAACTGGCCTTCTTTATGTAACTACTAATGTTTTGTGGAAGTAGGTTTTATTTATTTATTTTTTGTCATGGGACCTGACCTCTGGGCCTGGATACTGTCCCTCAGCTCTTCAGCTCAGAGCTAGTGGTCTACCACTTGCGGCTTTTTCTGCTTATGTGGTGCTGAGGAATGGAACCCAGGGCCTCGTGTATACAAGGCAAGCACTCTACCACTGTGCTACCCTCCCAGCCCTTTTCTTGATTTTTATTTTTATTTATTTATTTTTTGTCAGTCATGGGGCTTGAACTCTGGGCCTGAGTGCTGTCCCTCAGCTCAAGGCTAGCACTCTACCACTTGAGCCACAGACCACTTCTGGTTTTCTGGTGGTTTATTGGAGATAAGAATCTCACAGACTTTCCTGCTCAGGCTGGCTTTGAACTGCGATCCTCAGATCTCAGCCTCCTGAGTAGCTAGGATTACAGGCATGAGCCACCGACGCCCAGTTATGTTATTTGTTTTTATGTACAGAAGTGGGAAGTTAAGGTCTAAAGTTAATATGCTTATAAAAAGAAAAAAAGGAAAAGTCAAAGCTTGAGGGGGTAGAGCTTTACTTGATTTATTTCCCACTTGATTACATGTTTTTGTTTTTGAGTTGGTAGAGAATGCAAGGTACGTCACTATTTATTTGGCTTTTGGCATATTACACTATCTTCACTTGTTTCACCCAGGAGAGCATAGTGGTTTTGCTGCCTCACTGAGTGTTTCATGCCCTACGTGCTCAGTTGCAAAGAAAATATTCATTGTTTCTAGCATTCCAGGTCCCCAATGGAATACCCAGTGAACACTAATGACCAACAACTACCATGTCTGCTGAAAAAAAGATAAGATGAAAAGATAAAACTGCAGAATCCTAGTACCTACCACATATCTGGGACTCAGTTTTAGCCACTAATTTTGGTAAGACAGTTATCATCATCATTTTTTTTTCCATCTTCATTGGATCAGTGCCTCCATCAGATGCTCAAATCTTACCTTTTTATAGGCAGCACTGGGATTTGAAATCAGGGTCTCAAGCTTGTTAGGAACTTTCCCACTTTATCCAGTTTGCCTGTCCCCTAAATTTGGCTACTTTTAAGATAAAGCAGCAGAAGAGTGAAGGAAAATAGGCGGTTATGGAATATTTGGGAAGCAGCATTTCACAATAGTCCTATGCTTTGTGCTTTTCTTTTTTGCCTGTCAGCTCTGATTGCTGTTATCTCAGTTGTAGACTATAATTCTCAACAGCTCTAACTTTGGGACTTGTAAGTAAATAACAATAAAACCTAAGCCTATTAGGCAAGCAGAAAACAAAATCTGTTTCACTTAGTATGAAATTGAGCACAGTGGTCACTTTGAAAAAATGTAGGCATAAGATCCTAAGTCACAGGAAGTTGAGTTTAATAATATTTTTAATGCCATATAAAGAATATCAGCTAGAATGGAAATAGTGCAAGTTTTATGTTACTCTTGTTCATGATCTTTCTACTTTTAGAAAGAAGGGTTTTCTTTTAGATAACGTGGAAGCCATGTGTGGTAGTATACATTCCAGTAATGTCAGCACTTGAGAGGCAGAGGTGGGAGGCCAAATAGGCCTGCCTGGCAAAATGCCTTTAAAATGAAAGATAATTTGAATTTGAATGGCACTGTCTAAAATGTGGCCACAGACCACTTATAATTATGTACATGTAAATTTAATTTCATCATAATTTTGTAGCCTGCCTTGTACTATATTGCACATTTTCATTATCATCGGAAGGTATGTATCACAACAATCAATGTTATAACTGTGTTACTAGGTTGTCTTATTTTTCTAGTTAATTTTGAAATCTACCATACCTGTTAAAAACAGTATTAAAAGGCTTGTTTTGCAGTGTCTTCACAAAAACTGATTGAGCCGAAGGGATGCCTAGACTCTATTGTCTTTCATTTCTTTTCCAATAACCTTGGGAAACAATGAGCTAGTTAGGAACCTCTCAGAATCTATTAGTGGCCTCCAGTTTATCTTCAGCTCCCTGGGAACAACAAATAGCCTTGAAACTGGCCACCAGAAAATGTGGGAAAATGTGGGCTTTTTGTTTCCTATGCTGATAATGGCTTGGGTATCCTGTGACTAATAGACACTGTATCAAAGGGACTTCTGCAGCCCTAATACTCCCAGGAGGTAACTTATAACTCTATCATGTTCCTCCGCAAAGTCATATGAAGAGTCCTTGTGTATCCTGTCACTACACTATAGAAAAGGCTTGCAAACATGTTCTTCAATTATGTGTGGAAATAGCACAATCTAACAAAAAAGGACAGCACATGACAATAGATACATAATATTAGCCACAAAGGAAATTCTAATTTTTTCTAATAGATTACAAAAGGTAAAAGAAATGTAAATAATAAGTGGAAATAATTTTAACAGAGTATTTTCTTTAAGCCAATATGTGTAGGATATTAGTCACTTTTAATGTATAATCAGTATAACAGTTATTCTTGAGTGCATTTTTTTCCACCAAGTCTTCAAAGTTTGGTGGTGGTTTTCCATTTCCAGTACCTCACATTTTGGACTGACCAACAGGAGCAACAGGGAAGCCTAAAACCTGGGAAGAAAGAGAAGGAATGAGAGGAAATGAGAGAGATAGGTTTGGATAGGAACCCCTGGGCATGTGGACACAGAAAACATAGCCCGATATAAAGCCTTAAGCTCAGGTACAATGGCAAAGCTGGTAGTTTAAGGGCACTGCTAAGTGGCAGAACAGTAGGCTTCTTGTTAAGTCTGGGGTGCTGAGGCCTGAACTAGACCCATGGTTGTGGGCAAGATAAGGTAGAAATGCCCCTGAAAAATCCATAGGAAAAAATAATGTGGTGATCATTAGGATAAAAGGAAATAAAGCCAGAGGGAGAATGGAATTGGTCTCATGATATTCATCATACTCCCTTGATCCAAAAGTATTGATTGTTACCTGACTTGCGAGGGAGGAGCAAAAGCACATATGTATATGATTATTGAACTCATATAATAAGCATCATAATGGAAAAAAATCAGAATGCTATCATTTTAACAAATATAACACACAGGGGTTCTGTTATCAGGGTGGCAAAGAAGTAAGGAGGAAACACGCAGTAATAAATAGAAGCAAGCACCAAGCAGAATGAGGAGACATTGGAGCAAAGGAGAAAGCTCACAGACTAAGGGACTAATGTAGGAGTGCACTTTCTACTTTCAGAGAGCTAATGAAATGCATGGCATGATCATAAAATAAATCAAACCTAGATAGAACTAGCCATAATGCAAGAGCTAAAACTGAGCACATTCTTACTATAGAATCTAAAAGCATTATTTTGTGATGGATCACTGATAGCTTCTAAATGACAGTGTGCCTTTGCATGTGTAAGCCTTGGTTGATAGAATCCCTATCTCTAATAAAATTACCATTTCTGTTTAATTGATTTCTTACATGTAAGAAAATCCCTGATGTCGGTGTCCTGCATCTTGTATATCATTTTTCTAATTTGAGGAGGGGAAGGGAAATAATAAAATGCTGAAATAAGGTACAGGTTGACCCATTGTAACAATGAGATGGACCAGACACTATGTTGAAAACGAACTTTACAACTTGGGTGGGGGGAGGAGTTGGGGAGTTGGGGAGGGAAGGGATGGTAGGGGAAAAACAAAAGAAGAGGTAACTGCTCGATAGGAAACGTACTCATTACCTTACTCATGTTACTGTAACCCCTCTGTACAGTATTTTTACAATAAAAAAATAAAGAAACTCCTGACAAGAAAGCCTCTTAGAACGCCCTTTCATCTTCTCGTTTTCAGGGGAATATGAGCAAAACATTATTTTAATCTGCTTTTTGTTCACAAGGAGGAAAAAATAGAGGGGAAACAAAAATGTGAATTTATCTTAAGAAAAACAAATTCTTTGCAAAAATCTCACTTTAGCAAGAGAACAGTGATGAAGTCTTCCTGCTCCTACTGGAGGAATGGTCTAGGTTGATAGAAGAAGAGGTGAATGTGGGAAAAGAAAACCTACTAAAAGCTAAACTTAAAAATCAAAAACTGATGATCATACAAGGGCAGTTGAAGTAACAAAAGGGCCTAGTTTTCTTGATCTGGTGTTCACATGGATGTGTGAGTTGGAAATACCCATTTCCTAATTAAAGTAACAGCTAGGGATGACTGAGGACATTGTCTTAGGGACTTGATCACTGTTCCAGTTCTTTTCTTGATCATAAGGAGACCCTAATTCATTGGCTTTGGAGAGTGTTAATTCTTGGGTTATTAGCCACAATACCTCACAGGAGAAGATGTGTGGTTTCTTTGTGGTAGACATTTTTAATCAGGAGTTATGTGTGGTGGGGCACTTTTCATCTTAGTACTCAAGAAGCTAAAATGGGAAGATTTTGAGTTCAAGGCTAACCTGGACCACTTGGGGAGCTCAATCTCAAAAGAGCAATCAATGCCTGGTGCTAATAGCTCACACCTGTAATCCTAGCTACTCAGGAAAATGAGGTGTGAAGATTGCAGTTTAAAGCCAGCCTGGGCAGGAAAATCTATGAGACTTATCTCCAATTAGCTACCAAAAAGCTGGAAGTGGATCTGTAGCTCAAGTGGCAGAGCGCTAGTCTTGAGCACAAAAGCTCAGTGGCTGCATTCAGGCCCTGAATTCAAGCCCCACATGTAGTGCAAAGAATAAAAAAAATCAGTCATTTAAAGGCTTTTTAGAAAGAATCTACATTTCTTGTCAGGTTATAATATCAAAATTACCTGTTCAAAACAAATGCATTTTCTGTTTCAAGTTTCTGAAATTGAAAATTACTCATCTTCCCTAAGGAAGTTTATTCATTTCTACATTCTTTATATTAAGAAAAACACATTATGCTTTGAGTTCTCTAGACACAAGATGTTATAGGAAGGAATAAAAAAGGAATATTCAGTTTTCATAGAACAAGATTTCTCCACTGTCACTCACCATTTTGGTCGTCATAATTGTAGGGACTGCCCACTAGGTGGCATTAGCACCCTTCTTCCATTGCAACAGTTTGAAAAACGTTGCCAGATCTTGCCAGTATCCTTTCAGGGCAGGATCACAGCCTCTTGGAGTAACACTTTCAAGAGCTCTTGCTTGACTCAGTATCTATGCTTCTGGGACATTTTTGCCTCCTCCACCCCCCAAAAGAAGAGCCAAGGATAAGACTTTGGATTTCTGTCTTCAGGAAGCAACTAAAATAAGAGGTAGGTTACTGTTTCTTAAGAAAATAGGTGGATGACTCTGCCACACAGGAGGAATTTGACTGAGTAGCTGCTATTTTTCACTTTCTAGAATAATCATTCTTAGTGGTGGGGAAAGATGCAGAATGTTATTGTAATGGCCTTTGTCAAGTCATATTTCTCCTCATTTTCCTTTTGGTCTTCATTCTACCCAGTTGTGGTGGTTCTAAAATGCATCTCTGTCTACGTTCATTTTTTAAAGTAGATAAGATGTTAAATTTTATTGTTTGTACTTGGGGCCTTGTACTTGTTAGATTGGTATCCTACTACTTGAGCAATACCTCAAGCCCATTTCTGTGCTATTATTGGAGACTTCGGGCTTGATTCTATGGAAGAAGAACATCAACAGCCATTAGTTTGTTCCTGTGTAGGACAAATCATTGGTGCATACTGTGATAGATAATACTGTCACGCGATATACTGTGACTCTGAGAGATAATCAACGTGGGTTTTGAATGGTGGCTGTCTAGCTCTCAGACTTACTTAAAGGTGAACTCATCAGGCACAGTTACATGGGAAGAACAATTTACAGGAATTAATTACATGAGCCTTTATTTCTACTAGCCAAATAATTAAATACTGATGATAGATGTTGAATATTTGCTTTCCAAAAATTCTTCTCCCCCCCCCCCCATTTCCTTGGTCAAAAGTAAAATCTGTTGCTGAAAATTAAATTCCTATTTGTAGTGTGCCAGTGGCTCGTGCCTATAATCCTAGTTACTTTGTAGGCAGATGATTGGAGAATCAACATTCAAAGGCAGTCCAGGCAGAAAAGTCCCCAAGATTTCCATCTCCAATTAACTGGAGGCGTGGCTCAAGTGGTAGAGGGCCAGCAGTAAGCAAGAAAACCAAATGAGATCACAAAACCCTGAGTTCAAGCCCCAATACCAGAACATGGATACACATAAAAAAGTATTTGTCTTTCTATATAAAGCTGGTTTGGGTGGTCAGAGCTCAGGAAATTAACAGTGAGATGAACGTCATTTGTGAAAACTCTTATTTCTACATGGTGCTTGTCTCCATACCTTTGTGGCTGTGAGAAGACTGGTAATACTAGGCTTAGGTAACATTAATGTGTAGACTATTACATATTAGTTGTTTTTACAAGATGACGCAGTGATGATCTAAGGTGCTTGCTGCTCTTTTTTTTTTTTTTTTTTAAGTCCTCTGCTTTAGGCCACTGCTTAAAGTCCTAAGTGTTAATCCCTAAGACCATTAGTTGCATTGTGCTCTGTGAGTTCACCCCAAGTGGGATTGCCTCATGATGATGCTGAATTGGACAGCCTTGCTCATCAGCCTGTACTGCTGTCTTCTAGTGCCTCTTCTCTGGGAGAATTTGGACCTTCTTGCAGTGGACAATCAACAGTGTTTAAGACCCTGGCTTAAAACCATTCACCATCCTTTATGACTCAGCCACCTGCCTTCATTTCTGGAGTAACAGATACTCTTTCCTTGGGGAATTGGCAGATTCTACAAATAAATAAGGTAAGGACAAGATTTGGTGGTCTAGTCTTCAGTTAACGAGTGTGATGTCAACATAAAACTTATCAAATTGTCTCCATGGGAGTGGGGACCTCTTTGTTAAAAAGGGTATGAAACTCATTGGTCTTTTTTTGTGTGTTAAAATTTACAACACATGACATTTGTCATCATACTAACTTTTAAGAATACAGGGAAGTGGCGCTGTAGCTCAAGTGGAAGAGCGCTCGCCTTGAGCTGAAGAGCTGAGGGACAGTGCCCAGGCCCAGAGTTCAAGCCCCACGACCGACAAAAAAAAAAAAAAAAACAAAGAATACAGGTAAGACCTGGCACCATTGGCTCATGCTTGTGATCCTAACTACTCAGGAGGCTGAGATCTGAAGATGGATGTTCAAAGCCATCCCCGGCAGGAAAGTCTATGAGACTCTTATCTCCAGTTAACCAGTACAAATAGCCAGAAGTGGGGGGGGGGGGAGGCTCTAATCTTGAGCAAAAACCTCAAGGACAGTGCCCAGGCCCTGTGTCCCCAGGACTGGTACCAAAAAAACATAGATAAGAAATATTAGGTACACTGACATTATTGTGTGGCTATCTCTACTGTCCATTTAAAAAAAACTCTCTTTATCTTATAAAACCAAAATTCTGTACCCATTTAACAAGTCTGTCTTTTTTCTGTTTCCATCCCATGACTACCACCATTCTACTTTTCTTGAATGGAATTATGCAGTATTTGTCTGTGACTAGCTTGTTTCATTTAGTATGTCCTCAAGATTTATCTGTGTTGTAGCATGTGACAGGATTTCCTTCCTTTTTCAGGCTGAATAATTTCCATTATTTGGAAATTATATATGTCTTGTTTTTCCCTCACCTTTTGATTAGTAGGAATTATACTGCTGTAAACATGTATATTCAAATGTCTCTTTAAAATACTGTTTTCAGTTCTTTTAGGTATATATCCAGAAGCAGTATTGTTAGAATATTTTGAGTGCATGAAAAAATTTCTCTTATATTTCTATGCACATTTCCTTCTATTAATATAGGTAAAGTTTTCTATTAATAAGTACATATATCTCTATGTGTAAATTTTATAATTAGTATAGAGGATAAGGGCTGTGTGTGTGTGTGTGTGTGTGTGTGTCTGTGTGTGTGTTGAATATGTGCTAATTTCCCTCTGCTTGCTGACTTTACAAATAACTTATAATTTAAAACATAATACTGGCTCACCACTATAGTCCAGGCTGAGATCTGAGGATCAAAGTTCAGAGCCAGCCTAGACAGGAAAGTCCATGAGACTCTTAGCTCCCATTAACCACCAGAAAACCGGAAGTGGTGCTGTGGCTCAAGGTGGTAGAGTGCTAGCCTTGAGCAAAAAAAGCTCAGGGACAGCGCCCAGGCCTTGAGTTCAAGCGCCAGGATAGGCAAAAAAACAAACAAAAAAAAAAAACAAAGAAAAAAACCATAATACCATTTAACTAGACCAAAAAGCATATTTAGAGATTTTGGTTACCTAGAAATATGTATTAATTTTTGTCATTCATGTATTCATTCATTGTTTACTGAGTGCCAGGTAGTGCACGAAATGCCAAGACCACCCAATGTTCAAAGTCTAGTGAAAGGGACATACTTGCAATTAGAATTATCAAGCAATTGTGATTTGGAAAAGGCTTATAGGAGTGCTGTGGTACCACAGAGGAAGGCATGTATGTGTACTACCCAGGGCAATGTAATGATTTCATTAAGGAGGGTATGTTTATATTGGATATTTCATGATGGGTAGCAATTTGAAAGGCTGATTAGAAGGATATTCTACACTGAGGGAACAGATGGAATGCCATGTTCAGGAAATGGTCCCCAAAACAAGGCAGAATGTAGAATATACATTGTGGGAAGAGGCAGCAGAATGGTGACTATTGTAGACAACAAGAGTAGATAGATAGAGGACAGGCATATCAGACACTAGTTACTTTTTTTAAAAACAGAAGAATGTCTGGTATACTTTTATTTAGTTAGTTACTTTGTTTTTCCATATTAACCCAGGGAACAGTTTAGAGCTATTGGTTGTCAGATTAATCCTCATGACAGATGGCAGGAGCCTAGGTCAAGAAAATGTCAATGAGATGCAAAAAGAACAAATTTTAGAAAACATTCCTGAAATGACAAGCAATCGTACTTGCAGGTGGGATCTGCGGACACAGAGTGCAGTTATTCATGATGTTGAGGTGTAGCAGTTAGGAGGCTCAAAGGATAGAGCTGCTAGAAATGAAACTTGAGTGATGAACAAGAAGAAATTTATAGTGGAAATAAATGTTGGTTCCTCATTGTACTATAGGTCTTTTCTTTCATATTTCTGCAGGTTAATCCCCCTATTCCAAAGTAATACAGTGTTACTTACTCCTGCCTCTGTTTCGTCGTCTTCTTCTTTCTTTTTATATCACTTCACACAGCATCGTGTTAGGTTTTTCATAGTGCCTTTTTTTTGGATGAGGAGGCACTATAAATATTGTATGTTGATTGAGACTGTTGGTTTATTTTAGAGCAGTTCTATATGGTCCTTGTTAAGCTCACTTTTCACATGTTTAGGCTACATGTGGTACAGTTGGAATGCAGTAATATCTGAAAGCTTTGAGGAGACACAAACCTGGAATAAGACTGTGATAAGAGTGTTTGTGTGTATGTGTTGATCCTAGGGCTTGAACTCAGTACCTGGTGCTAGCGCTGGGTGCCTGGCCCAATAGGAGTATTTTTAAAGGTCAAAAAAAATCACTGAGGGGGGAGTAGGGGGGGCCGGGGGAAGGGGAGATGGGAAGGGGAAACAAAGGAGGAGGCAACAATGCTTGATAAGAAACATACTCATTATCTTGCCCATGTAATTGTAACCCCTCTGTATGGTATTTTCACAATAAAAAAAAAAAATCACTGAGCACCATTGGCTCATGTCTGTCATCCTAGCTACTGAGGAGGCTGAGATCTAAGAGTTGTAGTTTGAAGCCCGCAGGGTCAGGAAAGCCTGGAAGACTCTCATCTCCAATAAAACACCCAAAAATTCCTGAAGTAGAGCTCAAGTGGCAGAGTACTAGCCTTGAGAAAAAAAAAGCTTAGGGACAGAGCCCAGGCTCTGAGTTCAAGCCCCAAGAACAACACACACAAAACTTTCTTACCAACTTTACATGATATGATGTATTTGAGAATGAAAAAGTAGATCATTACAGTATTATTATTTTGAAATACTTAGGAAAACAGTACTTGAACATACTACATGCAAAGTAATATTTGTAACATATACAACAGATTTTCCTGAGTTTATTTAGAAAAACAGCTAACAGTCCCTGGTTTTTCATGCTGATTACACATTGAAGTTAATATTTTTAAGTATATATGACCAAATAGATATTGTAATAAATTTTACCTGTTTTTTTTCTCCTTTTTGAAAATGGCTACTAGAAGATTTAAAATTTGCATCATATTTCTGCTTTGAAGCACTGGTATAAAAAGATAAAGACAAGTAAGCAATGACAAAAATGTGCCACTCATTAAAAACATTTTTGCACTGGGGGTATGGCTCAAATGGTACAGTTCTTGCATGAGATCCTGAGTTTAACCCTCAGTACCACAAAAAAAAGAAAAAATATATACTTTAAACAGAATAAAAATGCAAAGGCAAATCACTGAGAACTGATCATCAGAGGAACTGATATTTCTGAGTGTCATGTGTCTCCATATTCACTAAGTGCTTAGTTTATCTTGCCAGGAGCAGTCTGATGACAGTATTATCATCTCCATTTTTCAAATGAAGAAAGTGAAGCTCAACAAGGTTAAGTGCTTTCCTGTCAGGTCACATGGCTAGCTAGCTAGCCAGTAGATAATTGGGTTACACATTCCTAGATCACAATGTTGTGGATCTGAAGGAACAGTGTCTTACTGGTACCCAGGGTTTGTTTTAATCAGATATGATAAAATACATAGACTTGGAACAACTGTCATGAAGGAAGGATTTTATTTTATTATACTAATGTCCCTAGAAGTAGGAAGAATGGCATACCATGTAGGGGCTCAGGGAGACTCACCGGGGCTAGTCAGGAGGCCAAAGAAACAAGGAAATGTGAGTAAGAGCCTTTCCATTGCCCTCCATGGCTAGAAAAGGGTAAAACTGTAAGCAGTTCTATGCTTTGGGTAGTTTTTATAATTTCAGCCTCCTCCTGGGCATAAAGCCCTTCCATGTTTGACTGATACTTGACCTGGAATGATTAGGGCAAAGGATGGGAGGGGGGAGATGGTTTATACTTGAGAGATACATTCCCAATTATTTGTTCTTTAGAAACTACCCTTTAGGAAAGACAGCCCCAGCCTCCCAGTATCAATAGGACATCAACTATAAGAGATAGAAATCTTAGTTGTTGTCTTGGCACATGCCTTTGAATACTCCTCCTTTTGCTGAAAGTGGAATCTTCCTGTGTTGAGATGTGTGCCCCTGGGCTTCAGCTAGAGAGCTCCTGGGAACCAAGGACCATCACAGGTGAGGAAAGCTTAGGCCATCTTTACCTGCAGACATGTCCACAAATTAGACTTCTCTGTTTTGTGTTTGATTAAATTCAACAATTTTTCTAGCATTCTCACTTGCCAATCTAAGTATACATTCAGATTTGGGGATTGTTTTGTTTGTTGGTCTTTTTGTTTATAATCAAAAAGTAGTTGGTTTACATTTCATTCTTACTTTGCGGTGAGATGTTGATTGTTTATAGTTTCCCAGTTTTTTCTCTCTCTTTCTGTGAGATTTGAATGTAGGGCTTGCTTATCAGCTATTTTTTATAGTTTCTCACTTTTTTTCTCTTTAATTGGCTTGCTTGCTGCGCAGCTGTGACTCTGCCATTTGAGCCCTGTGTTTCAGCAATCTCACAGACTTTTCTTTCTTTTTTGGGGGGGGGGGGGGTCCAATCGTGGGGCCTGAACTCTGGGCCTGGGCGCTGTCCCTCAGCTCTTCAGCTGAAGGCTCGCACTCTACCACTTGA